GGTTGTGCGGGGGTGCTGTGGAGCATGTGGGAACACCCAGCGTTTGAAGCCCCGGCTGTACCCACACACAATAGAACAAGTTAAGGATGGAATTTCAGCCCGAGCCTTAATGTTAATGCAGCATAGCTCTTTGTGGTTTGATTTCTTCTTATATGGCACTGTTAAAGACAAAATAAGCCCAAGTCAATCTCAGAGTCATTTTAAATTATGCTTACAAGAATCTTGTGCAAGCAATAGTAATAGATTCTTCCCACCCATTGCCTCTCAGTAAATTTGAATTTTTGTGTCCTGCTTGCTTTGAGTTTGCACTGCTGGAAACTGCTGAGGTGTTAGGTTACAGATACCTTAATATCTGAAGTCCAGCCTTAAACACATAATTGTTTCCTACAGTATACCTGTCTTTACTTGAAACTCATTTTGTGGAATAGAAGAGGAAAACTCTGCTTTTTGCCCTGTCCATGCATTTTTATGATCAAAATGAGCTTTGACAGTGTTTTTAGAAACGTCAGGAATGTCAGATCATTTTTATCTGAAGGACTCCTTGGATGACTCAGGAAAAAGTGCTTGGAAATTAGTCATGATTTAATTGAAGTGGGAAGGATACTGGATTGTTGAGAGACAGCTTGCTCCGCTATGCATGCTTTAGATTGGTACTTTAAAAGAAGATCAATCTTAATTTTAAGTGATTGAATCAGCCTTTTCTTCAAAACATAATTTTTATTCACTCTTTGCTTAGGCGTTTGGAATAGTGATTAGAATAGTTATTCGGTCATTTATCACTTCTCAGAGCAAATGAGGGTTATACTTCTAATCTTTTTTCAAAAATCCATAGCGCTCTATTTCTTCCCATGTATTTCCATCCTCTACCAACTGTCTTTGGTGGGTCCGGCATCCCTGCTTGCTGAAGACATGGAGAGATATGTATTGGTGAAGAGGACAATGGTGATGAGGGGGATACAGCTTTTAAAAGAGCATGTAAGCTGCTGTTGTAGACTTATCTATATTTTACACTTAGCCACATTACGTGGCCTGTACCTGCTTCAGGATGCCCATGTCCCTTTTTCTGGGACAGTAGGTCTGCTTTTGCTCAGGATTAGGGACTGTCCTAAACCATAGTTTCAGGAGGAACTTGATCACTTGCAATAGTAGTCCAAAACCAGCAAACAATTTGGTGGAAAGAAGTGATATAGTTAAAGCAAAGAGTTTGGTAATTATGCTCGAGAACACCTTCTGAAATGATTATTTTGATTTGGAGAATATCATAGTAAAGTGCTATGATCATATTGTTTATTTAGGCTATGAGAGTGGTTTTGAGTGGTGAAGTAGAGAACTGAGGCAGTATGAAGGTTGTAGTTGGCAGTGTGGCTAACAAAAGTGTGATGACTGGAGTATGAGGAAGATGTCACTCAAAGCTTAATTAAATGCTGGCAGTATGTTTAAGGAAGAAATGAAGAGGAGTAAGAATAAGATCATCAGTATTGATCTTTAAAGGGCAAACATCTAGCTACATTCAATTTAATTAAAATTGCAGAAATAATTGAATATTTTTGTCAAATTATAAACTATATGGCTTATAGCTGAAGAGTCATCACTTTTTGATGTCATTAGAACTTGATTGTGAATTTCTAGTCTCTGATGCCAAATGTAGCAGGTTCAAGTCCTTAACTGGTATTAAACCAATTTGAACAGTATTATTGTTGAGTTTGAAAAACATTGTGAGAAAGATGACAATTAAAAGGCCTTATGTCGTGATGATGTGCTATTTGAGTATGTGGCCACTGATGCTACCTGCCTTCACTCTGGACAGTAAAAATCTCCATATTCCTTACACACTTTCTGGTCTGGCTGAATTGTATAACACCTCTGCCACCACCTCTTCTCCTCCAAGCTTCTACTCTCCGGTTACGTTTGCCCAGATTTTCATTCTCTCGTGCAATACAATTGTGCAAATGTGTTTGGTGTGAAGGGAGGTCAGCTTTTTTTCTGGTGCTTTATCCTTCTCTGCATCTTCCGAACTGTTTGTCCAGACAGCTAAAAAAAGTCCCTGTAACTGCACTCCAGAACTGCCATTCTCACCACTCATTATAAAGGGAGCCTGCATTAACCACGTTTAATGGAGGTGCTGGCAGTGTAGCTGTATGAAGCTCCAGTGCAAAGCACAGGTCAGTCATTTTGATAACTTCCCTGTAGGCACTGGTGGGTTTCTATCAGGTCCCCCTGAAGCTTTCTCTTCTCTGGGTTGAAAAAGCCCAGTTCCCTCAGCTTTTAGATGTTCTGTAGTAAAAAGGATTTTAATAAAGACCTTCAGATTTATTTTTTTTTTCAGGTTTTGTGCAGATTGCGGAGCCATTTGGGGAAATTTCAGTCTTTATTCTCTTAACTGTCGAGGGGGTTAAAACTTACTCTGCGTTCTTGAAATAGTTTGATAGGCTTTTAATTTTACCTGTACATTTTTCTCTCCCAGACCTTCACAGAGGTCTGCCTTGTGCTCCTCCGTAAATTAAAGTGCAAAATAATAGAATATGAGATAATTGCAAACATTTTGCTTTCATGTTATACCTTCTGCACTCCTGATTGTTGCACAGTCTTTTTGTTTTTTCCTTTAATATTAACATACTTGGAGTATCCTGTAGAGACTGTTACAGTAACCATACTAAAACGTGGGGGGAAAGCAGAAATAAAGATACCTGTAATCATGAAGATGGCAGGTCAGCTTTGTAGGTGGTATAAATTGCTTGGCTGCCACTGGAGTGCCGTGAATTTTCAGTCGGAGGGCCATACGCTGTTCAGAAGAAGTAAGCAGTTACACGTGAGCAGCTGAGCTCTAGTGCAGCTCTAGCTGAGCTCGTGCTGGTGTGCAGAGGGGTCAGAGCGCTTTTAGCAGATACTGAACTTCTCCTACAGTGACAGCACATCAGGAATTTTACAAAAGCTTTGAAAACAAAGTAGGAGATGGCACAGCTGATGCATTTCATCCCATAAGGTTTGCTTATCTCATTTATGCTAGTATTTGAAGTGACTTTCATAAGAAATTACCCATGTTCCCAAGGCTGTTTTGCAAATCAGGGATGCTAGTTTCATGAAAAGAAAGGGGCTTGATGAATCTGTAGTCACGCGTTATTGTAATTCTGATGGGAATATGTTCTCTTCCAAATACAAGATGCTCTTCAGAGTTAATATGTGAACTTGTACCTATCTATTTCAGTTAAAATTGTGGATTGCTGGAATTCAGTGTTTTGATATCAGTAACAAGTTTAACTTTTGACAGAATTCAGACAAATATTAAATATCTAAAATAAAGCAAATTGGTTTCAGATACTTAGAAGTAGCCTTCATTCTCCTTGTGTGTCAGAATATGACTTTTAATTCTAAATTATAAGTATTTGGGTTTTTTTCTTGTTGTTGGTCCCCTCCCTCCCGCCTTCATTTAAACCTGAGGTTTGAGGGAAGCAAACATGCTACAAGGGGAAACTAAAATTGATTATAACAAGGTGCTTGTATCTTTCAGTGAAGTATTTTAACAAGTGCTTAATGCTAACACAAAGGTGCAACGCATGGGATTAAATGGCAAGCTGCAGACTTCTATTTAGAACTACAATTAAGTATAATATAATATCTGGTGGTAATAACTGTATCCAGGCTACAGCTGTAGGTTTGCCAGTTGTACCCCTTGTCTTAAGATCCCCAAATTGTACGTACATATGGTCCCCATATCCAGTTAGGGACCATGGTGGGTAGAGAAAAAGGAAACCTAATGACACAAAGCTGAAATGCTCCATCCTCTTCTCTCACATCTCATTGTCCGCTGAACTGTGTTTTCATGCTTTCTTCAGCAGACTGGTTACTGGCTGCAGCTTGAGGTACACCCTCCTGTTCCCGGAGTGCTTCACTTCAAAGGAGTTGGTTGTTACTCTCGGACCACACTGGGTCCCATTTTTTGGAGCTGCCTGTATCAATATCAGTCCTCCATCTCTTTCCTCTACTTTGTAAGCCTGACACTAAACCTAATGTTTTTTATTTTAACTTCAGAGCCCTGTCTGAGAGCTAGAAGGTATCATGCCAAAACAGCTTGTATGTTCATCGTATCAGCTAGCTCCCTTGCTGTCTTTGCCACTTCGTACCAAAGTCCTGGCATGTTGTCAGCTGGGTGGAGGAACTGTAACTGCTAGCACTTGGTTCTGCAATTTTTTGAACTCAGCAGAGTTAGCAGTCCCCATCCTGGAGGAATAGCAAGTTAAAACTAAAGTGTCAGAAATCCGATCACAGCTTTTAAGTGGTTCAGAGAGTCCCATTCCCTTTCTGCTTGCCCACTCCATGGGATGTGTGCATGCAAACACACAAGCGCCCCATTACCTGCTACGTATTTGGCAAATATCTTTACGTGTTCCCGATTTTCCTAACGACCTCCTGTGCAACTGGGTGCCTGTTACCTTGCGTGTCGCTATAACAGTGTTGACTTCAGCAAAACCAAGCGAGGTGTTCCCACTGGTCTCCCCCTTCCTCTGTTCACGTACTCTCTGCCTGTGTCCCACAGTTCCCAGCCCGAACACACTCAGCACAGCACACCCTGTGTTTTAACATCAACTGGTGAGACCCTCACTGTACCTGCAGCTGGTCTGAGTGTAACCAGGAGCCACTTACACTGGCCTGTCTCAGGAGTAACCCAATTTGCAAAATGCAGCATACAGCAGCTTTATACTGGACTGCTCAAATGCCAAGCAGTCCATAGGAACAATCCAGAAAGTGAAAACTGCATAAATGAACAGCGATCGTTCGCTGGAAGATGTGATGCAGCACCTCGGCAGGGCATGCCCGAGGCTGTACCGCTCCTCTGCATCACGCAGCGAGTAATGCCACGGGCACTGACCCAGCTGCAGATCCATCTTGTTATTTACTGACTTGTTTCAAGTATGTTCAAGTTGGGATCTTGGTACTTAGCCTTGGATTTTCTTGCTTTTCCTTCACCTTCTCACATCTTTGAACAGTCCTAAAATTAAGCGATGCTGCTGGTGGTAAAATTGTTCCATGGTTAATGTTCAAATACATACAGTGTGTTCTGAATTTTAGAGTGTATCGTTTTCCTGTCGTCACTTACTATCTCTGAAATCCTAAAATGTAAACGAGACTGTTTCACTGTGTCTGTGTCCTCTCTTGCTGCCAGTAAGTGCTGTTACTACTTGTCAGAGTGTCTGTCAACTTGCATGATTTCAGTCATGAGTCTCTCAATATTTAAGGGGGGGGGAAGTTGGAATATTTTTGTTTGCTTGACTAGTTGAATCTTTGGGTTTGGCAATACAATCTCTGACTCTTTTGTCTGTGTTTTCATTGCTTTTCCCATTTTTCTAACTTCTCTGAAAGATAGGCCCATATTTAAACTAGAACATCTTACTTTCCCATCTTAGGAGTTGCTCCACAACTTGATAATTAACTTCAAGAGTGGATCATTTGCACGGATGCAGAGCACATTTCAACCTTTACTGAGCCAGTTGCTAAACTGGCAAAATACTGTGTGCTGTTTGGTCAGTTTAGTTTTTTGTTGAGTTAGCGAGCTGAATTTGACTCAGCAAGAGTCCAACAAGTAGCAGAGCTGGCAAACGAGGGGGTGCAGAAGAGCAGGGGAATGGGAAGCAATGTCAGCCTTTGGTGACAGCAAGCCATTAATTTGGCTCAGCTGTGTTGCTAAGGCATGCTCTCAGTGAAGCCAAAATATACTTTGAATGCTATATAAGCATGTCATTCATTAAGACCACGCCATAAAAGCTTTAATTTCTGGTAGTCTCTTGTTGTGGCTACCCACAAAATATTGAGGTTAATCAAGATCGGGTATAAGATTCTTTCTAATTACAGAGTTGGTCTACAGATACAACCATCTTTCTGCATGGATTTTTTTTCTGTTTCAGAAGGAAGATGTCATTAATGTGGAAAGGGATGAAAGACTGTCTCTTCGGAAGCATCGCTTCATGCATTTCGCATCATTGGAATATGAAGGAGAATATTACATGACACCAAGAGATTTCTTGTTCTCAGTAATGTTTGATCAAGTTGAACGTAAGTTGTTTTCTTATCATTGTATTTGTGAAGGAGAAGAAACTTGCAGGTCCCCTTAAAGATGTAATTTGCAAATCACTGGGATAAGATACTTTATCTGACATAAATCATCAGAAGCCAATTTATAAATGTTGTACATATGGATTCTCACAGGCACCACCACCCTTTACACCAGTGAAGTGAGGCTGATGATTTAGAAATCTGGTGACTTGATGATGGTATTAAGTCTCTGCATAATTTGCATGTCTGATCAGTATGTAGTTCCTCAAGTACTTACATACCACAGAAAATAGGAAGACTGTAATATAATAGCGTTCATACCATTCCTGGCCCCGTTATCAGTCTATCCGCTTCACCAGAAAGTACTCTGTGACCTTTTTTCTTAGAAGAAGCAGTGATGAGAGTGACTTGAGTGAGCATAATGAAGCATTGAGCTCAGCTCTAGGTTTCTAGTTTCAAATCTCCTCTGGTTTATACGAAAGCTAGTTAAGAACAAATCAAAATTGTATACATGATTTTAAAAAAATACTTTTAAAAGCATGCTTTCTGAGGAGAAGATAGGACCAGCACACAAATAACAAAGTGCATAGATTGTTGTCCTCCTTTCCTCCTGTTTTTCTGGCCTCATTAACTCTGCCTCATTCCTTCAGCTTCTTTTATCTGTCTTTGTATCATCTTCTGTAATTTCCATGTTACAATAATTTTTTTGAATTATACATTTTTTTTTCTCAAAAGACTTGGCTTTTTACAGCTTTCCCAAGAATTTTATGCTTTAGAAAGGTTAAGTTCTCCATGTTTCAGAGAGGATTGTCACTCAGAGGACAAATACTCTGTTAGTACGTCTGCTGAGGGAAAGAGGGGGAAATCTCAACTTGTAATCGTTGTTTGCTGCAGTGTGCATACACTGACCAGCAGACTGTGTTGTCTAGCAAAAGCCATTCATAGCCTGGGATGCTTTGCCCAGCTAGCAGCGAATGTCTGAGGGACTTGGGGGTATTGAACAGGAAATCCAGAAGGGAATTCAAGGTACTGTGGAAAGGCTTGAGAGACGGGGAGGAAGAAGGAGACCTGGACGCACTTTGATTCAGGCCTGTGGGAAACCTGGGGCAGAACAGAGTTTACTGAGCTGCAAGTGGTCAAAGAATAGGACAGAAAAATCTGTAATAAAAGAAGTTCTCTTGCGTCTGCCAAAAATCTATAGGTGATAAGGATACACAGCTTCACTGCTGACACACAACTTCTAATATTATACAAAGCTGGATATAAATCCTTAGGAGGACTTTATGACCTTGAGAGTCATGGAGCCTCTTAAAATAACTTTTTTTTTTTAATACATAGCTAACAGAAAGAGTTCTTTCCCCTTCAAAACTTAGGACATTCAGTTAAAAATGTAGAAGGGATTTTCTTTTGAGTTTTCTAGCCTGAAACACTGAAAGACAGTGACTACTGCAATTTTCAGTTTTGAAGGTGTGGATTTCAGGCAGTTGTCTGTGAAAGAAAGGTTAGAAAAATAAGTGTTTTTCAGTCTTAGCAGTTCATACATATTAATCGGTTACTCCAACTATAATAGTACACATGCAGATTTTTAATGAAGTGGTATACGGGTAAGATTTATTTGTAATGCAGCCAAGTTAATTTCAGTTACTTTGCTAATATGAGTAGGAAACAGCGTTAAACGGAAAAGAAAAAATAATGACAAGAAAAAAACATGTGAACAAAAAAAATCTTTGCACTAATGCATATTTAGCATTTCAAATTGAGGTCAGGCTTACAACAATAGTATCATAGACAATTCATAGAAAAATGTTAATACTTGAATCTAATGCTCCTAAACACTTTTTTTAACCATCCTTGGTGTGGGTTCTTTGGCCAGTAGCATAAACACAATGGTAAGCAATTCTCTTCAAGTCATATTGTTTGGGATTTTAGGTTTTCCTGTAACTGCAAACAGAGGTAGCAGTTGTTAGCAGAGAAGTATGGCGTTTTAAGTATTTCAAAGGCAGTGGTTTGTTCATTGTGTTTAGAAGAGTTTCATATGAGACAAATAAACAGGCCTATCTCAAGTGTCCGTTCAGATATTTTCAGAGTAGATCCAAGATGGTGAACTTCACAGCAAAGTAGCAATTATTTTTTGAAACTTTCTGCTTATATCATAAAATTAATCCCCTGTCACCCTGAACAGTGGCTTTCAGGGTGATACTGCATACAAGTGGTGAGTCTTATAATGCTGAACTTAAAGCTGTAATGATTTGGTTATTCTCTACCTATTTTTTAATGAATCACTAATAAAACAAAAACAAAAACTCTTGGAAAATTTGAAGCACCCTGGCAGTAACCATTCATCTTCATAAATATTTGCTTGGAGTTTGCCAACTGGTTGCTATGTATAATAATATGAAAGTCTTAAGGCTGTTCTAAAGTTTTGTTTCTGCTGTCTTTTTTTACAGATAATAGGCAGGAACATATGACAAGGCTCACGAGCAATTTAGCTGTGTACACCAAGAAATGTTGCTGAGGTTGATCACAACGTTCTGTTGCTTTGTTCCTATTCAGAGATAAACACTCCCAAGGGGAAAAAAGGCAAGCAAAAAGAGGGGATGAGAAGCAGTTATGGGCTGGGAATAGGGGTCCTTGTCCAACAGCCTTGGGGTTTTTTGCTCACTGGTGATTGCCATTGGAGAAGTACTTTGAAATCTCATGTTAGTTTTTAGGCATAATTAAATTTAGAAGAAAGTAAACGTGGTGTTGTGTAAACCAGATCAATTGTTGGTGCTAGATCAAAAGTGCTGACGTTAGAAAATACCAAAATATTTCAGCTATGTCCAGATTGTCAAGTGCATTCCTGTACACAGTTGGGTGGAATTTATTACTGAAGCAAAAATCTTAGGTGTGCCCTTTGACAAGGTTGCAAAACATGCAATAAATTATGATTTATTATAGAACACTTTCCCAGATAAGAAAACACATGAACTGTAGTGCAAATATATCAACTGTCATCCAACCCAAGTGATCTTGAACCCTGCTTGATAGACCTTAGTTCACTAGTTGTGCTCATTTGTTTCCTGGTGCACGGGTTTCTCTATTACTCATTTTCTTTAAGGTAGGCCAAAAATTGTGAAATCTTGGCATTCCTCTTGATTAAATCACACCTGCAAAGTTATTTACTGTCAGGGTGATAATGAAGAAAAATATTTACAGTCTTGCCATCTAAGGAGAATCAGCTGATAACAAATGCAGAGTTTCCTGACAGATTACTTTGTTCTGCATATTGACAAAGCAGAAAGCTGTATGAAGGAAGAAAGGCACCGTCCAAAAAAAATTTGCTTGCTTTTAGATGCAGTGTTTCACACTGGATTATCTTTGTAAATATTTGCCCAATTCTATTACCGTTAGTTATTTTATGGAAGGAAGCAGCCACCTCTGTAAACAGTGGCAAACAGTAAATGAGACGTGATAGTGTGGCACAGCATGTGTGCTGGTACAAAACACCTATGACAGTGTTTTGTACCTGTTAATGCAGTGCCTACTAAATGACCATTGAGATTTTGGGATTCATGGCTGTATGCCATGTAATCTCCTGTTAAAACAATGTTACTACAGGGATTTGTGGCAAACCATTGCAAAACCAACCAAGTTCTTCTGGGTAATGTGTGGGATGTTCATGTAAACAGTTGTATCTGGTGCAATGATAGTTTAGTGAGAAAGTGTTTTCTGTTACTCTTCTTATCATGATGTAAAAACTCCTCAATGTCTCGTAATACCTAATAAGAATAATATGAACTTGCTGTGTTGTATCAGACATTCTAAGATTTTTTCTAAAATTTTAAGATAATGGGTATAAGAAAGATAAAGCTAAGCTCACTTACACTGAATTTTCATTACAATGCAGGAGTGTTTTTAAAAGACCCTTCCAGCTTCATGTAAAATCTGTGTTTTAAACAGTTGTGCCTGCTTAGGCTCATATTCCAGGTTATACAGCTAATACTGTGTTAGAGCTTCTCCATGGAAATATCATCTCTGGTGTGCTATTGTTGTAGAACATATAAGAAAATCTGTATTAAATTTTGAAAAGGACTACAGATAGAAGAATCCTTCAGAAAAGGAATATTTTGCAGTACATTAAATCTGGACTGTGTTTATGTTCATTTTTCTGGAGAAGATTATTCTATTCCAGAAATACCTTCCTCTTTCAAGTAGAATACAAATGTTCAGCTTAGCTTGTCTGATAACATTTGATACCTGGTAAATAAAGTTCTTGATCCTTCTGTATATACGCAGTCCAGATTTAATGCATCATAGCATCTTCACATCCTGAACCATTCCTTTATCTGCAGTAAAACAGATTTTCCTGTGTTCTTATAGCACCAGGGTGCCAGAGGCAGTATTTCCACAGTAAAGTCCTATCTGTTGGTGAGTATTAGTGTGTTGTAAGTTTGCTGGGAGAAGTTGTTTGAGTTGGTTAAGCTTTCTGTGAAAACATGGTTGGCGCAAGGTTGTGGTATGTTTGCAGGTTTGATATGATGTATGACTTTATGTTGTCACAGCATCAGTGTTGTTATGACTGTGAATAAATCTGAGGAAAGGATACAGTGCAAGGCTGCAATGGCTAGAAAAATTGGGTTCTCCATTGCCCTTAGAGGAGATCAGTGCTGGTGCTGTTGGTGGGGTTTGGAGAGCCAAGAGGGACCAGCCAGTAGATGGGCGCTTCAGAACGAGCTAAGTCAGTCTTTTTGTTTCTGGATCTCGAGTTTTTGCCTCTAGTGGGAGTTCAGATGCCTATGCTTAAGTGTCTTCATTTTGACCTGAATTTCATACACGGTAACTAATCAGACTGATACAAGTCATGCATGAGCGTCAGACCTAAAACCTAGGATTCATAAGATTTAAGCTTGTGTAAGTGATGAAGCTCCATATGGGACATGAGGATTGAAATGTTATATGGGGAGCCATTGGCAGAGCTGGGAACTGAATTCAATCCTCCTGAATTTCTAATGTGTTAACAAAGAGATCATTTTCTCTTTGTCTCTGCATTTAGTATTTTTTAGCACTGATACGTTGTCGTTGCTCAAATACTCCAAACACAGTAGAGAACTCTGCAAGCTGGGGTATGCAGGACAGAGATGACCCGTTGCCCAGTGCTAGATGGAAGGTAAACCAAAGCAAAGGTGAAGAAGCAATATGATGGTTTAAGGTCATTATATGAATCTCTTCTGAGTTTTAGAAAAATGAAACAAAATCAGCCATTTCAGCCAAAGCTTCTTAGTCATTGTTGTTTACTCATTTCTTAAAGTGGGGTTATGAGTGAAGGAAAGTAATGTTCCTGTTGAGGGGTCTGTACACGTAAGCAAAGATAAGCAGATTGCTGAAAATTTCTGCTTCTGTAACCAGCCCATACTGTGAATTTTTCATCTTCAGCTATCCTTCATCACCCAAACAGCATCAGGAAATCCTACCACAACCCTGAGAAAGTCTTTCAAATAACATATTCTATACATTTGGCCTTTTACTTTCTCTTAAGTGTCCAAATACAACATTAGAATTGATGTTGTGGATAAAATATTAGATCGTTGTGGATAAAATGTTGTACCTCAGCCAATTGTTGGTAAATAGATAAGCTAATTAAGATTTTTTTTCTTCTTTTCTCCTCAGCAATAGTTTGTTAAAACTGATAACTTAGTTACATAGGCTGTCTGATGCAACACTGATGATCTTCATGGGATTGGTTTATCTAAAAATTAATCTGAAGGGAAATAGATCTTTATCTAGAAACAGCAGAAATACTGCAGAAATTCTTAGAATCTTGATAATGTGTATTTACGTCTGGACATAAGCTTTGTTGTGAAATTAAAATAAAGACTAATGCATTTTCATAGCAGTTGCATCATGAGGTACTATGTAACAGAATCAGAGATGGGATTCTTGAGGGGAAATGGGGTCTTCCACCCCACAGCAATCAAATCTGATCTGTTGGCTAGGCTGCTTTTTTGGTGTATTAACCGCTGGCCACTGCACTGACTTATTTGTTTGCTTTTGTTTTTCAGAAAAACTTGTTAGGTTGAGAGTTCAAAAAAATAGATGCAAGAGGTGCTGTGATTAGAGCAGAGGTGTCAGGCAAGAGCTGGCTTCCAGTGCACGGTTGGATGGGGGAGCAGGAGGAAGGATTGAGCAGTGGGGTTTGGAGGAAAGGGAACCATGGACATTTAAGAAGAAGCAGGTTTTAGCACATCATTGCACTTGCACAGGGACAAGGTGTCCTTTTTTTCTCCCTGTTCCATTTCCATGCCTTGAACCATGCATGCTATGAGACAGTGCTGAAGGTACCTGGGATACGTACCTTGTAAGGTCAAATAAGAAAATATATTTTTGATCCTTAAAATTGTACTGACGTTGTATTAATTACATATGTATTTTTGTGGTTATGTCTGCATGAAAAGACAGTAAGGTTATAATAACCTCATGGCTTTGTTGTGATTAATTCTTATTTTTCCCTTTGTGGCATCGCTGACTAGCTGGAGAATGACGCAGAATCAGAGTTCTTGTCTCAATTGACTGCACTGCTTACTGATTAGATGTCCTGGTTTCAGCTGGGATAGAGTTAATTTTCTTTCTAGTAGCTGGTACAGTGTTATGTTTTGGATTTAGTATGAGAATAATGTTGGTAACACACTGATGTTTTTAGTTGTTGCTAAAAACTTTGGCAAGATGTTATGTTTTGAAAATACATTACTAGCTATTTAGCTTTCTGAAAAACAATTGTTAATGAGAAGATATATTGCAACTTCTCAATGAATGAAAGCAATTTTTTTAAAACTCAGCACAAAAATAGTACCAATAATAAAACTGGTCAGGCTTCAGCAGAGTTGTGAGCAAGAGGCAAGTGGTCTCAGCACACATCTTGAAGGATTTAGTTATTTAAAGTGTGAAAGTTATTGGTTATTTAATGGCATCTGAATGGAAAACAGATTCCTTGAAACGTATGAAACTATATTGTGCGCATACAGAATACTTGTAGTACAAGTAATGGAAAGATCTGGTTATTAATAACAGGAGTCTGCTTGTTGTATAAACATCGGCTGCCTTAGAATTTCAGAAGTCTTGCAACAGTTTCTGCTTTAGTCAAGTATTCCAGTTTTGTGACATACTACCGTGATATTTAAAATACTTAACAGAGAAGTCACTTTATTTTATACATATGAGCAAATTTCAAGAACTCATACAATCATTCTTGGTCTCTGAATAGTCTTCCTATTTGTAAAGATTTTTTATTTTTGTAGAACACCACACACTATTTCAACTACATTTATAACATACTGTCGGCATACCACAGAAAATATTTCTGGGATTTTTTCTGTCAAGGGTTCTGAACACTTCTTGACAGATTACTTCAGTATTTTTTTTTTTAATAAATTCAGTGGAACTTAATCAGTTCTGAAACATCCTGCTTAACTGACAATTAAGTCTTCACAGATGTAGCGTGAAAATCAGACTCAATGAATTTTTATCACTCTTAAATGTATTTTAATTTCTTGCAACATATGTCCTTAACACAGACAGGTATTGGTTTGTACCTAAGAAGTACAATCTGTTTTTAAAATTCCTTGGATTGCATTCAGATATTTAGAACTGATGGGGATCTGGCGGACCCTCGGTGGATGATATCAAGTGCCAGGAGTGCAGGTCAGGCTCCTGCCAAAATCTAGTATGCATTCTAGCCTCACATTTTCAGTTGTTTGTAACTCTCTCAGTGCTGATGGTTCTGTGCTTTTTCCTTAGGCCAACGCTGAATTTTTATTATATTAGTCATATGATTTCTGCTTTTTTGAAAAAGTAATCTTGATATAGACTGATTTTTTTTTCCCCCTGCACATTTTCATAAGGAATGTTACATTAGGGGTTTTTTTTTAAATATCTAAGGTAGAACCATCGAGTACCAATCACTTTCCTTCTAGGCAGTAATAGCAGGCAAGGTGTGCAGCCTGCTTTGGTAGGTGAGAGGAGCTGTCCTTACTTGCCAAATGGCTGTGGTCTCCAGGGAGACCTTTGAGAAGTTCCACTGCTCTCTCTTTGGAAAACACTGGCGTTGTTTTCCTAAGAGAGGAACTACCTGGGTTGTGCTCTCCTTTTTTGCTCCCCGCCCCTGCACCTGCAGTGGGTTATAGCACAGATTGTGCTCAGTAGCCTTTCTCATCTACTGTGAAACAAAAGCAAATACTGAGCTCAAAGACTTTTTTCCATGTGTAAAACACACAGGTTTCTCTTGTTAGAGCCACCTGCTTACGTGGCAGTGCCCTGTCTTGGGCTTACCAGCTTCGTTACTGCAGAGGAGAATACAGCCGAGAGCCAACTCTTAGTAATCGAATCCATCTGCCAACGTTGTCCAGTCCATCAGAGAGCTCTGGTCCTCACGCCACCATCCATAATACTGCTGAGCACCTTGTCATTCTGCTGGCTATGTCTTTAGTTATCTTTCCTCCAAGACCTGGAAAAGGCTTGTGCACCTGAAAGCATAATGATTTTTCAGCCATAGCTAACGAAAGATACCACATTTTCCAACAAATCCTGCCTTGGTTCTTACCAGGTGAAAGGTAATTCAGCATCATTGCTAGGTCCAAATGCATCCTAATTGGCCATTCTTGTTTCTTCTGGTTAGCTTATCAGTATATAGAAAATGCCAATATCCTGGGACTTTGTTCACCAAGAGCTGCGGTCCTACCTGGCTTAATAAAGATAAAAAAATGGGCTCCTTGTATGGGATTTGAACATAAAACATGGCCAAGCCAGCTGCCATTTGACTTTATCCAGACTATTTCAGTTGTCTTTCAGAAGAGCTGACATTTGAAGTCTTTGGTATGATTTAGCTTGTTTTCCCAAGTGCTAGCCTTCTTTTCAAGCCTTGAATTCACATCCTTTGTGCCAATACCTCTGATACTGCTGGAATACTGGGACAGTGGAGTCTTGCTGCTGCATTGGTATTGGCAAGTGCTAAGTAAGTCACGCATCCCACCAGAGAAACTGCCAGTTCCAGAAAACAGACAATTTTTGTCTTTTTTGTTCCTGTGCAAATGTTTTTTCGTTTTGTTTTTGGTTTTCCTGGGGAAGAGTGAGGTGTGTCTGTTCTTAACTGTGGACTGGATCCAAACAGTTGTGGGCCTGACAGAGCAGATTCTTATAATAGAGAATACTAAAATTAGTCATTTTGTCTCATGTGGATGGACATCTGCTTTTCCATTGGGACTGTATTTATTTACTGTGTCTGACAACTTCTGAACAGTCACCCACACCCTGACATAGCAATTATTTCTTCTCCATGGATTTTTTGGTGATAGAAAATGTGAGAGCTCACTTCTGGTTTGCTGTCACTTTCTTGGGAGAAAATAGAAAATCTGATTTTCAAAAATTTCATCTGCTTT